AAAGGACAGCACGACAACAAGAAAGTTTGGGTTTGGGATAGCAGCAAAGAACACCTTCGAGTTTTGGCTCAAACAGGACGAGAAAAGAGAGAAAATGTCGGTGCCGAGGTCAAACGACCGGCTAAGCCGGTGGCGACAGCACACAAGTGGCTGTGGGGAGCTGGCACCAGGATAACGACCGGTTCACCCACGGGAAGGCAAAGCTACATGGTGGACAATGGCTCCGGGTTTTTGACACGTTTTGACTCATCCCTATGCTTGCTTGGTACGACCGGTGTTCTATGCAGGTCATCAGGCCTTAGACTCCCGTTGGTGTCCGGCGTCGGGCCGGTTCCGACGTCGTGCCTTGGATGTGTTCGGACGTCTGGGTGCTAGAACTGTCCCAGGTCCCAGTATAATGGGACTGGAAGAGATGCCGCCCCAGCAAGACCCCTCAAAAACCCACCCCTATATAGGTCAATACGCCAGTCCCATGGAGTATCAGTGTCAGGGTATACTTCTTTCATCTTCCCATGTCTCTTTACCTCTCCAGCATGTGTCTTTCTTGCATGCCTCTTACTAAGAAAAGCGGCCAAACCACCCAAACGAGTCCATCCGACTCGTCATCGACTCCTCTGCATCGACGCTCAGCATCGACCGGTGCGTGGCTTCTCCTCCTGACGCAGGACGCCCGTGTCACGCCGTGTCACGGCAACATGCAAGTCAACATGCAAGTCCACGAAGGCTAAAGCCCTCCAGTACTGACACGGAGTCTACAGTACTGAGTATGAATGCCTATAGCGCAAACGTTTTTTTCGAATCCAAACCATATAGGCAAGAGCATGCAGCATGCACCAAAAGTCAGTTTCAATCCATTCCCTACACCTCCAAGTACCTCCTCAGAAGGTATTTGGACTCTCCAAACCCACCCCAAACACCTTCTCAGAAGGTACAACTGGAGGCCTAGGGTAAAGCTGGAACCACTCTTGGCATCTCCTTCGCAGCTGGCGCCACTCAAAGATCCTGAGTGGCTCACACCAAAGCTCCAAGGCTTTTTTCGTGACATTCCTGTGTCCAGCCACAGCTTTGCACATACCTGGACCCTCCAGGGGGTGTCCAACGGACTACCCCACACTACCTATAGGCTTCCAGACAGGGCACCCCGACAGGAGGGTCCTGGTAGTGCAAACACTTCTTTCTTGTACAATGGAGGTTTCGGCCAGGAAGGAAAAAAGAAGGCCCTGGGGGCATCCGGTGCAAGAGATTGAACCTTTAGTTGCTTATTAGGAAAACCTCTTGCAACCCAGTAAGAGGCTAAGGGTCAAAGACTACACCTATACAAGAACCTTAATTCAAGGACACATGTCAAATGTAATTAGTCATGATGGGTACTCCAAACCAACACCTCAAGCCAAGTACCGTGTCTGTCATGGTTGCAGCACTTAGTCGAATCACAACGGCAAAAGGCAGTGGCACACCAAACCCACCAACACAGAATCAGGATGAATGGGCTTCCGGAATCGTGCTTATTCGTAGACAGGGGTTCAGTTGTGTCTAAGACCAAAGGCTTCAGTGTTTTTGAGCCTAAGTTGGGTATATCACGATACTAGTAAGAGTCGATGATGATGGTAAAGACTTAAAGACCTTGAACCAAAGTAGCGATAATATCATACAAACTGTTACAGGTAATGGGACACATCCCAAGTCTAAGACCAAAGATCCAAAACTTACTAACTGGTCAGTAGCAAGGCGCTCTGCAGAAGCTCTGCAAAGCTTTCCGCAGAAGAACTCCGCACATGAGTGGACCGGCAGGTGGGCCGGCACGAAAGGACAAAACCATACAAGATCTACAAAACAAGAAGTTTGCATTACACACTTTAAACAATACACAGTGTTCCCCATGCCAGCAAATGTACCCATTTAATTAGAACATCAACATCACCTTCGCAAACACTGAAAAAGGATGAGGGTGGGTGGGTGGTACCTCCATATGCGCACGCCTAGGCGTGTGCGTGCACTCATGCACGTGTGCGGAGGGTGGACATGAAGAGGGCTGATAGGTGCAAATGACTCCGAATGTCATGACAAACTGTTGCACGCTGCATGCGCTGCATGCTGTAACCGGAATTTGGGTGCCGATGATCTTCAGAAATTGCGTTTGCTCATCTTGCTGCAAATCGTTTGGTATTGAGACTTGAGGGTGCGTGTGTGTGTGTGTTGGGAGGGCCACAGCGCTTCTTGGTGATTGCAAGCTTGGGGTATTTGAAGTCAATGGGAAGCTTTGGTCGTCTCGAAACAAGGGATGGCATACAGCTGTCCCCCTAAATGTCGGGTTAGCATGTTTACTCTAGTTAGCATTCGCATCCCCACCATGGACAATCCTTACAAGCCTTCAAGACGCATCGCTTGGATCCGAATGGATGCGACAATGCATGGCTTCGAGCCACAACTCGGCGGGACGCCGCGAACGGTCAGGTGAACCATGATATGGGAGTTCCGTACACCATGTCATTGCGGAACATGTATACCCTCAATCGAGGCAGAAATACAGGTAAAATCAACATATTGTTGCCATCATTACTAAATGTTGCGCAGTAGTATACCACAACATGTCTTGGCACCAGGAAAAGTCTACCTTGGGCCATGCGAAACACCATGTAACAGTGGAACATGAAATGGTCTTCCGCTGCTGTGGGCAGCCCCAAAGAATACCTATTTTGCACAGCGAGATGTGTAGGTGAAGAGCCTCCTTGAAGCTGACCAGTGGCAAAGCAAAACAAACAAACATCGAACCAACAATTACAATATTTATAATATATGCCTCAAAAACACAAATTCTAGCCAACGATCGGTAAAAGCACACACACACATCCATTCGCATGATACAAAAGCAAGACAAACAGCAACTCTGCTCGATGTCAAGTTCATTCCTTTTCCACGCGCAGCCCCTTCTTGAACAGCTGTCACACGTGCCATTCCCATGCGGCGCGTACCATCTCAGGGAGGACTGTGTTAGGCTGGATGGTCGGAGGCCTGTGCCCAAACGAAAGGGAACGCACTGAGTCAAGCGGCGTTCGAAGCGCCCGAGGATCGCCATTCTTCAATCCCATGATCCAGCTTCAACCCGCACCCAATGCGGCCACATACTCTCCACCAAATCTTTACCAATTGAAAGTGGTAGACCAAGTGGTAGACCATCTCTAGCAAAGCTTCCACAGTTCCCTGGTTGGTGAGACCTATTAGGGGGGGACCTCCCAACCAACAGTCTGATGTTGATTTTGCCAGAGGTCTTTGAGAGATCTCCCTATCCCAAACGCTCCATGTATGCCATATATGCCTACATTGGGGTGGTTTGGGGGGTCAATGTAAGCATATATGGCATACATGGAGTGTCTGGGCATTATTCCAATAATACACACCCATTTGTTCAAAGGGTATTCCATGCCGGCACAGCTGTCCGTAGAGTAGCTGGATGCAGCTAGCACAGCCACAAAAATCATCCTGGAGGTGTCCGCAGTTGTCCGCCAAAGTGTCAGACGAAGTCAAGGCTTGCCTGACTCCCAGACTCCTGGCCTTACTACTACGAGCAAGAAACTATACACTAGGAGCAAAGGGCATCGCTACTAGTAACAAGAACCCTACGTTCCGGGCTCCTGGCCATACTACTAGGAGCAAAAACTCTGTTTCGATGAATATTTCGAACCTTCAGCCCTTGAAACACTTCAAATAACATGACAACAGCTGGGCATAAGCGCAATTCGATCCAAACCATACAACAGCCGGCGGTGATTCATTTGTAGGAACTATTACTTGATCAGAACAGAGTTTATGTCAATTTAGTATGATCTATTTGTTTACACTATGTTACATTACCAGGACCCTCCTGTCGGGGTGTCCTGGCTGGACTCCCCCACACGGATCCTATATATATATATATATATAGGCTTCCCCACACTATGCACCCCGCGGTGTCGGGTCCTGGTATGTTACATAGCTAGAAACGTGCAGAAACAACGGCGCAACACAAACGTCCATCATTCGGGCACACTCCCATGCCTCGCACGCCCACACAGCTGCGGTCCAAACCTGGCACCACGGTACCGTGCGGTCGACGTGGTCGACGCGGTCGACTCGGTGGATGGTGACACCGAACCTCGACTCTGATGAGCCCAAACCTAAGTACTCCATCAAACAGTGGAACGCAAAGGCTGAGGCTCTGCAAATCTTGATAAGTTCAGTGGGAAGGGAGAAGGAATAACCCAAACCCTCCATGCATATGCCGAAAAACCTATAGATGGACCCCCATGTTTTCAGCACCAAAAACGGTCCTTTTTCGTCAGTCCGTTGGACGAACGGACTTGCCCATGGAATACCTGAACCCAAGGAAACCAGGACAAAAGAAAGGCCCCAGCCAGGACCCGGTTCTCCCGGTCTTCCCGAACAGGAATAGCGTGGAGTCGGGAACGAATAAACCGAAAGAACGGGCCGCTGATGGCCGCTGTTGGGTGTGGCATGGTCCCATGTTCGGTACTTGAAGTCGGGTCCAGGTACATAGACCCCGAATGATTCCACCACCCTTGGCCTAATCAGTCATGCTAGATGGAGTGTCCGGACTTAGTATATCAACATACCCATGGAAGTCGGGTCCAGGTACTTGACCGAACAAAATCACAAACCTATGTGCCGATGCCTATGTGCTCGTGACGGACCCGCCAGCCGGCATCTCAGCTCGCACCGGTCAGCCAAAAGGGGAAATCCTGCAACATATTTAAACAAAAAATGAAAACCCTAGTGAGGCTCTAGTGGTAGCAAAAACAAGTGACTTGGTTTTCATCAATTGAAATTGGTGGTTTTCCAATCCAAGCCGACCGCGAACTGACCAATGCGCGGCCTGACCCAGCCGACCGCGAGTTCCTCGCCTCTGCCTCGCTCTCTGGGAGCCTCCGACATGGACCACTTCGACCAACTGACTGCGCAAACCACCGGGGTCACCCACTTCGTCACCCCCTGTCCAGGTTCAAAAAAAGGTGAAAATCGTCGTTCCATGGAAACGGGCAAATCAGAACATCACCTTATTAAGCAATACCGTTTGGTGAAGGGGTCTATGAAATCCACCTTGGGTCCTGGTAAGGTCCTGGTACTGAACTCGAGAGCCGGTTCCAAAGTTCACCGAACTTTCAACTTGTTCATCTCTTTTTTTGGAGTGTCCTCAATCCCCCAAAAAGGTTATCCGCTGACCCCTGCCTAGCTGACGCCTAGGCGGGGCGGCGCCGGGGACACCGCAGGGTGAAACAGTTGCCCAGGCCAAGCAGATCCAGCTTAGGCAGTCACCTGGGCTGCTCACTGGCCACACCAACTTAGAAGACCTTGGCCTGCACCAAGCCTAGAAGGCCTTGGCTTGCACCTGTTTTCTATAAGGCTTTGAAGGTGACGTAAGGCACTGGGCACACCCCCATTCCGACCGCTGTTGCGGGCAGAAATAAATGGTGTCGTTTGCTAGGCTTGAAACCCCCGCCGGGGTGAGCTTCTGGCACATGCCAGGCTATACAGGCTATAGCTTTATGGGCTCTCGAAGGCAACGTACCAGGCAACGTGCCAGGCGACGTTAGGCATTTTGGCTGGCTGCTCCCCCCCCCGTTTCGACCGCTGGTGGGCAGAAATAGATGGTGTCGTTTGCTAGGCTTGAAACCCCCGCCGGGTGAGCTTCTGGCACGTGCCAGGCTATACAGGCCATAGTTTTATGGGCTCTCGAAGGCAACGTGCCAGGCAATGTGCCAGGCGACGTTAGGCATTTTGGCTGGCTGCACACCCCCCCGTTTCGACCGCTGTTGTGGGCAGAAATAGATGGTGTCGTTTGCTAGGCTTGAAACCCCCGCCGGGTGAGCTTCTGCCACGTGCCAGGCTATACAGGCCATAGTTTTATGGGCTCTCGAAGGCAACGTGCCAGGCAATGTGCCAGGCGACGTTAAGCATTTTGGCTGGCTGCACACCCCCCCGTTTCGACCGCTGTTGTGGGCAGAAATAGATGGTGTCGTTTGCCAGGCTTGAAACCCCCGGCGGGGTGAGCTTCTGGCACGTGCCAGGCTATACAGGCTATAGTTTTATGGGCTCTCGAAGGCGACGTACCAGGCAACGTGCCAGGCGACGTTAGGCATTTTGGCTGGCTGCACGCCCCCCGTTTCGATCGCTGTTGTGGGCAGAAATAAATGGTGTCGATTGCTACCCCTGGAACCCCCCCCCGATTTGGGCAGTCTATAGGGCAGCAGGCCGCACTGTGGCCATCACCTGGGCTGCTGCATGCCTGCGCCTGTTGCGGGCAGAAATAGATGGTGTCGTTTGCTATAGGCTTGAAACCCCTGCCGGGGTGAGCTTCTGGCACGTGCCAGGCTATAGCAAGACATTGAGCAGGTCACTTCATCAGGTAGCAGCCTTTGGTTGATGCTGCTGGGAGTGCTAAACTTGTTGCTGAACCAAAGAGTGTGTAGAATACCCCACGCCTCCCCACACCACTCTGAAGTTTGGAAAATGAATCCCTCCCGCAGGTGGCAGGAAGTTGCTGATGTCGTCGCCATATCCTGAACAAATAGCAAGAAGAGAAAGAGGAATAAAAGGAAAATGGAAAGGAACAGCAGCTAGCCTACTTTACTAAAGCCCGCGAAGCGCGAAACCTGCACCCTACACCCTAACCCTGGAACACTAAACCCTAAAGGTTAGGACTCAGGTGGCTGTATGGTCGAATGGTCTGAACCTCGGTAAGGATCAGGATTAGAATTAGGGTTAGGACTCAGGTGGCCACTTTTTGAACCATACGTCAAGGGGCTTCAGTTAGGATCAAAAATGAGGATTAGGATT